CTTAAAACCAAAAGGGCTAAGAGCTACTCCAACAGTTTTCGTGTCCTCTCGGCTAAGAACAACTCCAACAGTTTCCGTATCACTAAAGAAAAACGCTCGACTAAGAGCAACTATCCTTAAAAGAACTTAGTTCATGTGTCTGAGGAAAAAAACACTATTAACTCCAACTCAGAGCAACTCGATCAGTTCCTGTATCCCAAAGAAAAAAAAGCTCCTGTATCCCAAAAAACATCCCATGTATTGAAAAATAAGTGCTCTCAGAGTAAGAGCAACTCCAACAACTTTCGTATCTCAAAACTGTCGGTCAGGGGAAGTTGAGGCCAAAAAAGCTTTTCAACAACTCCCTTGAACCCGGAATAATTTTATGGGATCCTCTAAACTATCCTCAAACTCGTCGTGTGTTTATGGGAAGATGATCTTTCACTAAACTTTTGGCGTGCCAAAACTTCAGCTCCTCGCCTGCACCAAAGCCGTGCTGCCACACCACCACTACGAGGCCACCTCGCCGGTGTCGCGCATCACCTCCTCCCCGCTCTGGTGTCCTCCCTGACGCGCGTCGCCTCCTCCCTGCTCTGGTGTCCTCCCTGACGCGCGTCGCCTCCTCCCCGCTCTAGCGTCCTTCCTTGCCCTGCTCCTAACCCTACGCATGCAGCTAAGGCATTCGGAGATATTCTGGACCCACATTTTCTATGTTCCAAAAAATGTATGACAACATCTTTGCTCATATTTTTTTTCCGTATTCATTGTAGATGAACATTGTTGTACAATCTTTTTTCAAGGACTCATCCTCCGATGAGGATGAAGGAATCGAACTTTGTGATCGCTTTGTATGGAGACACGATGGCAAACTAAGAAGCCGAAGTGGGTACGGTCAGTGCCTTGTCAGCTTGTGCTTCTTCAGAACAAGCAAGCCGGTCATGACAAGCTACTAGATAACTACGTTGGTGAGAATCCGGTATATGATTAGACTTTTAGAAGAATATTCCGAATGTTAATGGGTTTCTTCTTGCGCATTGCTTGTGTTATCGAAGATCACTATCTGTTCTTTCAACAAAGAAGAAATGCAGCTGGTCAACAAGGTCACAGTAGTTTGAAAAAAAATGGTTGTGTGAATGCTTGCATATGGTTGTCGAGCTGATATATTGATGATTGGGTTGCAATGGCATAGAGTACTTGCATTGATAGTTTGATTTTTTTTTTGTAAAGTCCATCGTTGGGATATTCGGAGAAGAATAGCTCCAACTTTTTTTTTTGACAGAAAGACTGTAAGGAAACCCTTACAATATAATCGGTGCAACAAATCCAAATTGTAAGTATCATGCCTTGAATCAAGGTGGGTGGAAGGGCATCAACCTCCTTTCACCACTATGCTAAGCCGTAGTCTGCATCCGAGCACCAAATGAAGAGGACATTGCAAGACTTTTTAGATGGGTGCATCGAAAGGCTTTCCAAGAATGCTTGAAAGTATCGATTGCATGCATTAGAAGTGGAAGCTTTGCGCTGCATGGACAATTCAAATGAAAGGGTTAAAATCAACTATAATTCTAAAAGGTGTGGCATCAAATGACATGTGGCTTTGGCAATCATATTTTGGATTCCTAGGATCTGACAATTATGAGAATGTTCTGCAAAGATCTCATCTATTTACAAGGCTTTCAGTTGGAGAGCCACCTCCCGTGAATTTTGAAATCAATGAGCGTCAATACAACATGGGCTACTCCCTTGCTGATGGCATATATCCGACATGGTCAACTTTTGTGCAGACTTGGAAGAGAAGAGTGAATATTCATGATCGTGAAGGTATATATGTCCCGCCACTCCCGTCTTTTGACAACGCAAATATCTTCCCAATCTCTCATGGTACAATGTCACACAATGATGTCAATTGTTTGACCTGAGGTGACATGGCACTCATGATCTTTTAGATGCAGTCACCACAAAAACAACACGCACATCCAACAAAAAGAAGCACATGAATGATCTTCAATAGATCTGTAGAAATTTAAACTGCAAAATCAATCTAGAATCAAATTCACAAAGCCTCAATATAGCTAATCAACAAATATCCAGCGGCGGCTCCGAGAGACCCTCAATTGCCGATCTGTTCATCGGTGGAAGAATAACCTAAATCAAAGCTACCCCTCCTACACTGTCAAGGTAGTACAAATAACACTAAAAGTAAATTTTACATATAGGTCCGTAGACCAGCTAGTGACGAATACAAACAATGGAGCAAGTTGAAGGCGTGCCATCGTCATCGCCCCTCCCTCTTTGGAGTCAGGCAAACATTGTTGTAATAGACAGTTGGGAAGTCTTCGTGTTAAGGCCCCATAAGACCAGC